CTCGTCTCCTTTCTAATTAATTATTATGTGAAGAATTCTACTCTTACCACTAATGGTCATCACCTCTAAAATACAGGACTAATTCATTTATTACTTGTTAGAAGTAGTAAAGAAAAAAATCACTTCTCGTCTCCTTTCTAATTAATTATTATGTGAAAAATTCTACTCTTACTACTAATGGTCATCACCTCTAAAATACAGGACTAATTCATTTATTACTTGTTGGAAGTAGTAAAGAAAAAAATTTACTTCTCGTCTCCTTTCTAATTAATTATTATGTGAAAAATTCTACTACTTTACTACTATGGTCATCACCCCTAAAATACAGGACTAATTCATTTATTACTTGTTGGAAGTAGTAAAGAAAAAAAATTACTTCTCGTCTCCTTTCTAATTAATTATTATGTGAAAAATTCTACTCTTACTACTAATGGTCATCACCTCTAAAATACAGGACTAATTCATTTATTACTTGTTAGAAGTAGTAAAGAAAAAAAATTTACTTCTCGCCTCCTTTCTAATTAATTATTATCCGCGTGTATTTTTCCAATGTGGAAAAATTCTGACTTCTCCTGAACTTTAACATGTAACGTCCCTTCTAGGAAGAGGGTTGGTTTCTTTCCTTTAAGGTCATGACCTGGTACTTGACTGGACCCTCCTGATGGAAGGAAATGATTCAAATACTGTGACAGTCATGGCTTTCCATAAGGTGACTAAGAAAAGCAAGTTGGTAGAACGTACTATGTACTACGCCTGTGCGTGCGAAACCCATATTGTACATAGCACTACTCTCCAAGCAGAGGTTTGGGTTTTGGGGGTATTTTTAGCGTGTTTTTAGGCTTTCTTTATCGGGGTTTCTCTTTTGCACTGAATTTTTTTCCCCACCAAACCCAACCAGTGCAAAAGAGAAACCCCGATAATGAAAGCCTAAAAACACGCTAAAAATACCCCCAAAACCCAAACCTCTGCTTGGAGAGTACATAGCACCTCAGCAGAATGTCTTGTTAGAGGTCGTTTTTGCGAACTCAAGGTCATTCCACCTACATGTAGTTTTGAAAACTTGTGTCGGAAAAGATATTGCCTACAACGGGCAAAATTCTGATGCAACGTTGACCAAACATCCAACACACGGTGAAAAATCTGTGATCTAAGAAAGGCACATACTGAAACACTACAGGGAAACCTTCTTCAAGCAGATACATGTATTCGCAGGGAAGTTGTGTTACTAAGACCATTTTTTGCACCGCTTTTGAACCTTGGAGATATAACGTTACATATAGTGCAGCAAAGACTATCGTTTAAGATTTCACCAGTTTTGAGATCTGTGAAAAAAAAACCATTAAGAAGTTGTTACTTGAGTGATGTATTTGCCAAAACGGTTCTGTGTAATATTAATAAACATGAGAAGTCAGGATGTCAAATATCAATTGTACACACATGCAATTCCTAAGTTCTATTACTTTTTACTCTTTCAGATTATTTCAAAATTGCACTCATTTTGAAAAAAAACTGATAAAATTCACAGAAACATCAACAAGTTACAAATATACAAACTCACACATTTATAAGATATTCATTTACAACATGTTCACTTAACATTTTCAAATCAAACATGCTTTGACTGGAAAATTCCACCCAACTGAAAATACGTGTGGAAAGAAACTGGAATGTGAAGAAAATCATCTGACATCATTCTGTCAAAATTTGAATATGTTACATCATACAAGTGTTGTCTACAGCAGTCATGCTATGTGAGGAGAAGATTATATTCCTTGGCTAGGCCACACCAATTTAATTTTTTGGTTCTCTGATTTTTTTTTCTCGTTGCAAAAAAAAAAACATTTCAGGCTCTGAATCAACTCCAAAATGCTTATTTTTGGGGCATTTTTGGTTTGAAGAAATCTCCATGCTTTCCTATTTGTTACAGTTTATCCATCTATCAGTGCATTGGTTTGATAACAAATGTTGTTAGAATTATAAACCGACCTGGTATGTTGACCTCATGGTACCTAGGCTTTTAGGGCTACCATAGGATGCCTAGGTCTGTTTTTGTCTTCGTCAGAAGAGTATGTTTTCTATTTGGCTGTGGTGCTGGCCTGTATGTAAGTCAACGTTATAACTCGTTATTTGCTAGCGGATTTCTATTATTTTTGGTGTATGGGTAGCAGCTGTGAAAATGTACTTTAAGTTTAAAAAAGTGGTCGACCTGGTAATTTTTTTCCCTGTCGCTTCATGCATTTTCTGAAAACCGAGAACCAACAAATCAAATTGGTGTGGCCTTAGGTCATCTCCAGTTAGCACGTCGGCAGAACGTACTGCACCTGCGCGTAACCCGTAATGTATTGTACATAGCAGTTCGGCAGAATATCTCATATAAGGTCGTATTCGCTCATATAAGGTTAGCATTTCAACAGTAGTTTCCAAATGTTGTGTCGGAAAGAATATCCTCTGCAACAGGCAAAATTCTGATACAACGTTGACCAAAAATCCAACGAAAAATACGAAAATACGGGGTTCTGTGCAGGTGCAGTACGTTCTGCCGACGTGCTTCTCCAGTTGAGCTGCAGGGTTAGGCTACAGGTCTCCCGCTGAGCTGGTCCTGCAGCATCTTGTTGTAGTCCTCCACAGTCTTAGTCACTTTCTGCATCGTCGGACGGAAATCACTCTCCATTGTCTTTGTGGCGATGACTGAAGAAAGGGCTGGTTAAGGAAACATCAAGTAGCATAAAACATACTTCTACTACACTAAAGGATTCAATGTTTGGAATAAAAAAAAAACAATTCCCTTTCTGAGCTGAGAAAGTTTTCTTACTTTGGGTAAAAAAAATTTGACTTTTCTTGCAAGCTTTCCTGCTCCAGCATTGGAATGCTGGGCATTAACACTTCTTTTCATCTTGAAAATCAACAGTTTGCATTATGCAATTAAAAATCCTAACCAATAATGTAGGGGACAGCTATCCAATTGTTGTCACTTCATACTATAGTTATAACAAATGTAAAGAATTGTTTTCCCTTGTGTTTCTCCCTCGAAATTCTTTCCCTGCCATGTAGTAAAATGTGGTGAAGCCATCCGCTACATTTGCTCCAAAGCAAATGTTGGCCTGTCTAGTTCTAATTAGTTTCCAATATCCAACTGAATATCGATGTCTTAGGACAAAGCCTCAAATTTGAAATATTACTCGTTCTGTGGTGAAGATTGAATCATGAAGGTAAGATATGTGGTCACAACAGTACAGAGAAGTGTAAGAACATTTAGGAGTTTCCTATGAGGGGAAGTGTAAGTAGAAATGGACACAGGAAACATTACAACATTCTATAGATCTCCCCATCCTAATGGCAAACCCCTGTCCTTACTGTACTTCAGGTCTGACTCTGAGTGAGATGTGGCCAGGCTTCCTGTCAACACGATGTTTATCACAGGAAGTCTGTCTGTGTCACCGCTACTCTTCCTGCTACTGGCTTGGCACGGTCTCTGCACTGCAGAGGTACAAATGTATCTAGCCTGGCAGCCATACGCTCTCTAGTATACATTACCTGTCCATCCATTAGCACACACCAGGACTTTTTTTATGGATTCCCACAAACACTGCCATCAATGTAATGTCAGCAAAACTGACGTTCATGTTCGTTATAGTTATCACCAGATTTTAATATTCTTGTAACAGTGGGGGGTTTATAGGCGCTACCAACAGATCCGGCAAACGGGTCTAGACCTTTTAGCTCACTCAGTTAGAGCGTCTGCCTGTGGCCCGGGAGCCGTGAGTTCGAAACCGGCCCGGGACCAAGGGGTTTTTATCTGTTTCTACTGTCTCCTCCTGGTTTCTTACACTGGTTCCCACGCCGGCCCTGTGAGTTCTGGCCGCTCCAGGGCCGCTCCAGGGATTGCCGCTCCAGGGATGTCGAATTCGGAAGATTCGAGGACGAATCTTGAAAAGAAAAGGGGGAGTAGTGTAACAGTGGGGGGTTTATAGGCCCTACCAACAGATCCGGCAAACGGGTCTAGACCTTTTAGCTCACTCAGTTTGAGCGTCTGCCTGTGGCCCGGGAGCCGTGAGTTCGAATCTGGCCCGGGACCAAGGGGTTTCTATCTGTTTCTGCTGTCTCCTCCTGGTTTCTTACATTCTTGAATAATAATATGACTGTATTTTTTTAAGCTGCTTATGTTTTAATCAGTTAGTGTTTTACAAGGGAAGGCTGTAAAATCAATGCAATTCAGTCCACATAAAGACTCAAGGCTCGAAATTCATTTTTGCGAATAGGTGCACTAGAGCACCCAACCAAAAACATTGGGTGCAAAAAACATTGGGTGGTTTGGTGGGGAAAAAAATTCCAGTGCAAAAGAGAAACCCCGATAAAAAAGCCTAAAAACATGCCAAAAATAACCTCAAACCCAAACCTCTGCTTGGAGTTTGACTATTTTGAGCAACAGAGCTGTGCCTAACAGGAAGATGTAGTGTACTGCACACCAGTGGCCCTGTGGAAAGGATACACTCCTTCATGACAAAGTTGTTCTGCTCATGGTGCTGCCACTTCCTCTGCAGGTTACTGAGCTGGGTGTGGGTCTCGTTATCGTTCAGCTGGGCCTTCAGAAGGTCGTACTGCGCAGACAGCTCTGACATGCCTGCAAACACGCGCAAAGACATGGGTCAGGGATTTTCCTACGAACTTAGTAACTGTTCAAAGAACTGTTGTCAATCTTTGAACATGAGGCCACACCAATTTAATTTCTTGGTTAACGGATTCGCCCGCTTCATTTTTTTTCTGATTTGCAAATAAAAATAAAAATTCAGAATCAACTGCAAAATGCTCATATTTTGCCCTGAACAATTGAAAACAGTCCTTTTCTTCCTAGTTGTTACAGTTATTCCATCTTTCAATGCAATGGTATCATTAAAAGTTCAAAATTCATTGTTTAAATTTTGAACCAGCCTGGTGTGTTGACTTCATGGCTGCTATCGTACCATTTTGGGCCATAATAGGATGTCTAGGCCTGTTTTTATTTTTAATTTTTTTCGCCTGCCCGCTCCATTATTTTTCTAGAAAAATCCGTTACCCAAGAAATTAAATTGGTGTGGCCTGAGGTTCGATAAAAACTGTCATTACAATCACACATGGTATGTCTGAAATGTGATTTGCTAGTCCATCTTGTACCAGCAGTTTGAAGTTGTGGCTTGCACCTAGCGTTGACAAATTGGCCACCGCCATTTTCCCACTCCAGCCTTTGAAATGAGGTAACTGCGAAGTACTAAAGTGTTCGCGCATTCGATGCAATTTGATCTTGGTGCTTTCTCTGACTTCTTGTGTTTCCCGCATTTACCCCGTCTACTGGCTCGTAGGTTACAAGATCCGCCAACAGAGCGAAGTAGGAAAAGGAGAGCCATTATATTGATGCTTTTAGAAGTTTTTCTGTCATCTATTGTGATAAATATAAAATACATGGTGGAATACAAGGAAGAAGATTTGGACAGAGCGGATTAGTTCTTTAGAACTTTGCATGGTCCTAAAGAACTAATGATTGCGAAGGTGGGAGCGGGAAAATGGCAGCGGCCAATTTGTCCACCCTAGGTGCTAGCCGCAACTTTAAACAGCCGATGGTGCTCTAAACAAGATGGACAAGGGTCTAACTGTAGGATGTCACTTTTAAGACATACCATGTGTGATATAATCACAGGTTTTATCAAACTTCTTGTTCCCCTTTAACAGTTGGGTTTAGAAAGGTGCATAGCTACTGTAAGCTTCTGAATTGTTTCTGAGACACTATCATAGACAGAGCACACTTACCTGTTTTAAACATGTCCCGTCTCTTCATAAGTAACACCTTATCCTCTTGGAGTTTCTGTATAAGAAGAAACAAAACATATTCAAATAACAATACATGTATTAATACAAATGAAGCATAAATGCCATACACCTTGCATGAACTTCTGTCCGAGAATATTTCCCCTTGCTTTATACAGTTATCTTTTGAACACTGAACTTGTTTTCACACAATTGACACCAATACAGCCATAATATTGTTATTCTTTGTACAAAAATATAAAAAAGAACACTAATAAATGAAATAATCATTTTAATCAGCTGTGAATCACTTTAAAAGATTTCGCCAGAAAGTCCCCTGCAGTTTCCAGAACAGGCTGATAGGGGAACCAAACCCACACAACTTATTCCTGACAGGAAAAGCTATCTGTCACCAAAAATCCAAGACCATAGCATGTTCAGGACAAAAGATACAAAAAACAGAACTTCTGCTGCAATACCAAGGTCATCCACCAGGAGGCCCATATTTGACCTTGACCTTTTTCTTCCTACTACCTACCAACATACCAAATATCATCACAATCCATAAAGGCATTCTGAAGTTGTGCTGACTACTAATGTGCAGAAACACACACAGACACAGCAAATAAATATATCTCCATTTTTCACGGAGGTAACAAACAAACAAACAAACAAACAACCCACCCTTTTCTTCTCCTCATGAATCTCCCTAAGTTTGTCCAGGTCTTCATAAGTGGCCAGTTCTTCGTTCATCTGCTGAATCTTCTGTTTGAGTGACTCCAGTTCTGTGGTGATCTTAGTCTCCAGCTGTTCCACCTTAGCCAGGTCCATCTGCAGCTTCTGACTCTCTGGAGGGCACCAAAATCATTTATTTATCTATTAGGCCACCCCAATTTAATTTGTTGTTTAATTTGTCTTCCACTGAGTGTTTTGCACTTAATTTAGAACCCCCCCAAATTTATTTTTTTTGCAAATCAGAAAAAAATGGACAGGGCAAATCCGAGAAACAACAAATGAAATTGGTGTGGCCTTATAAACCTATGTTTTAAGATTTACCACATTTGTGGAAGGATTGACATAACAGGTGACTAGGACCTTTTCAAGATGTCAAACTTTGAGACGAGGCATTAAGGTTTGAACCAGTCACACCAGGCCTAGGGAAAAAATGTTGTGTTTCCTGTTTCAGTCCTGAAAAAATTAGGGTAGGACGTACATGTAGGTAGGGATTCTCTTTAATTTTTTTTTTTTCTTCTTTTTTTTTTTAGACTATGGTGATCCCTTAAGTGACCAAGTTATATAATACAATTTAACAATTTAAAACTTGCATGAGGACAATTAAACTGAAAAACAACATTTCATCACTCCGTTGTCAGATCGTGGAGCTAGAAAAGGGCAATCAGCTTGCAAAATTTATGTCCCTTGCAGGGGTCCACACACAAAAAAGGCTAGGGTCTGCAGGTTTTTTCCAGGGTCGGTCGGGAAACTGACTGAACCTAGAAAAAACTGCTGACCATAGCTTTTTTTGTTGATTTTCCAACATTGACACTATAAGTGTCCTTATGCAAGTTTTATTTTCAATAAACTGTATTGTATAAGTTGGATCTGTAGAGATGACCAAAATCTAAAAAAAAAGAAAAAAGAAAGAAAAATTCCTACCTACTGGCCCTTATTTTTTTCAGGACTGAAACCAGCGTGCAAAATACCTGGTTGCCCTGTTGCTCCGGGCAACCAAATTTTACCTGGGGCAACCTATTTTTGAACCTAGGTAGCCCAGTGTGCTACCTGAATTTTAATAATGCCCACTTGGCTTGCACCACTGTATCCGGCAGATGCTTTTTAGTTTTAGGTATTAATGGCTATTACTAGTATCAGTTAACTAAAGGCTGTTAGAAATACTGTCAAAGGCATATGTATGTAACATTACTTAATTTGAGGGAAGTAGTAACTTATAGGTGGGGCAACCTAAAATTCTGATGGGCAACCTAATTTTTGCCTGGTTCAAAAAAGTATTTTGTACACTGCATTAACACAAATTTTTATTCCTAGGCCTCACTATGTGACACTAGACTTGGATGTACACACCTTCAGCCAGGTTAGCGGCTGTAGCCTTGGACTTCTCCATCTCTGTCTCCTTAAAGTTCAGGTCGTCCTGAAGAGTCCGCAGCTGCTGCTGGGTCACACCTGGCAGGTGTCTGGCGCGAGTGATTTTCTGTCAACACACGTAAAACAACACAAGGAGGTTGGCTGTTACAGACAATGGATTTATTTATCTATTTAGGCCACACCAATTTAATTTCTTGGTTAACAGATTCGCCCACTTTATTTTTTTTCTGATTTGCAAAAAAAAAAAATTCAGAATTAACTACAAAATGCTCATATTTTGCCCTGAACAGTTGAAGACGGTCCTTTTCTTCCTAGTTGTTACAGTTATTCCATCTTTCAATGCAGTGGTATCATTAAAAGTTCAAAATTCATTGTTTAAATTTTGAACCAGCCTGGTGTGTTGACTTCATGGCTGCTATTGTACCATTTTAGCCATAATAGGATGCCTAGACCTGCTTTTACTTTTATTTTTTTTTGCCCGCCCACTCCATTATTTTTCTAGAAAATCTGTTAACCAAGAAATTAAATTGGTGTGGCTTTATTAAGAAATTGTAACATGACAATACAAAGTGTGCACTAGGCAGCAAGTACTAGTATGCTGATAGCGCACACATCTAACACATACACCACATATGACATAGAAGCAACAATAAACAGTTAAAGCGAGATATATACACACAAGTAACAGTTCATGTATATAATAAAATCACACAATGCAATTATAATTCATCATGTCTCCCTCATTATGTAATATATCACACATGTAACCACACCAAACGTTTAATTTGCTGTTATAAAATTTGCTGTTATAAAATTGGATTTATCTACAGGGAGGATGTTACCCTGGATTGAGAGTGAGAGTGAGAGAGATATTTTGTAATGAAGCAAAAGAAACAAAAGGTCACTTTTTTCTTATAGTCACATCCTTTCTTCTACTATGAAAGCTGATACAGTATGTAGCTTGACTCACCCTGCTTGAAGCTTCCAGTAGTGCCACAATGTTGCCCTCCAGTTGTCCCTTGGTTTCCTGCAATGTTATTTATACAGTTTAACTATACTTATGAAAGTTACAAGTAGAACACTGCCGTGTAGTGAACATGTATATGGTGGACAGCAAACATAGCATCAATTAAAGGATGGAATGCCCTTTCACTAAAAATAGAATTCCACAATTTTGCAATGTTGAAAAATTTTATTTTGCTAGTTGTCCAAGAGAAAAGTTGCCCATGCAAGACCTGGCAGAAAGCACTACTTTCACCCAAATGAGAAGTGGTAGAACCAGGGCTCAAAATTCATTTTTGGGAATAGGTGCACTGATGCACCCAACCTAAAAATTTAGGGTGCACAAAAATCTTTGGGGTGGACCATATGAAACAAAACCTAATTGAAGGTCTTACTGCTCCTCTTCTGAGCTTGAATCTAAAATGAGAGCTAACTTCAAAATCTACTAGTACTACCGAAACAACAAAGATTTTATTATATTTCTGATACTTAGAGACTAAGAATATCCAGTATACTATAAAGTATTATACATTTCTAATGTTACAAATTCATACAAAAATATTTAGGTGCACCAGTGCACCCACAGAAAAAAATTGGGTGCACAGCTCCAATTTTGGGTGCACTAAGGTAGAGCCCTGGGTAGAACTAACCAGTTCAGAACCCTTGGTCTGTTCAAAGCTGTTCAGGAACTCATCCATAGTCTCTTCTCTCTTCTTCAGCTCCTTGTACTTCAGGTTTCTCTCACCTGAAAACAGAACATTCCCCAGTTTCTAATTAGGCCATGTTGATTTGATTATATGGATGACATCCTCTGGGAACCCAAAAACTGATGCGAGCGTGCGAATAAAAAAAAACGTTTTGCAAAAAAAAAACTTGCTTTCATTATGAAATCTACGTGGTCATGAAGGTTGAACAAATGACACAGGGTATGGTATAGCGAATAATCTACTCTTCAAATTCATTTCTTTACATTTTCGTCTTTTTCGTTTGGTTTTGACATTTTTCGTTTGGTTTTGACATTCTACGACATTGTTATTGTTTTCAAATATTTTTTGTGCAACTTACAGTATATATTTGCTCATTTTGCAACTGTTTTGTACGATTTACAGCATGGTTGAAAACCTTTTTTTTTTGGAAACGGCCGAAAATTGATGCGCGCGCGGATGTCATCCATATAATCAAATCAACATGGCCTTATGCTAGAAAAAATGAGCATTTGATCTGTGTTGACAGAACAATACACAATGTATGTACAAGAAGGTTTCTTTACTCAAAAACCAGTGGGTTCTTACATTCAACATTTTGGTGACGATTTATCACCTTTAGGCCACACCAATTTAATTTCTTGGTTAACAGACATTTCTAGAAAAATATTGGAGCGGGCAGGCGAAAAAAAATAAAAACAGGCCTAGGCATCCTATTATGGCCCAAAATGGTACGATAGGAGCCATGAAGTCAACACACCAGGCTGGTTCAAAATTTTAACAATGAATTTAGAACTTTTAATGATACCACTGCATTGAAAGATGGAATAACTGTAACAACTAGAAAGAAAAGGACTGTTTTCGACTGTTAATGGCAAAATATGATCATCATTTTGCAGTAACTGTTGATTCTGATTTTTTTTTTTTTTGCAAATCAGATTTTGAAAAAAATGAAGCGGGCGAATCCGTTATCCAAGAAATTAAATTGGTGTGGCATAAGAGGGCAAAAGTATCTGATTTGTACTGCAGTTAGGTGTCACTGCTACAATTTTACAAAATGCTGTCCCGATGTATGTATATATTATGAGTTCCTCCATACATACATGTAGTTACAATATAAAGGTAAACATATGATACACACTGATTGCCCCTATTCCATACATGGACTCTTCCAAAAGTAGGTTTATCACACAGACCCCGGGTTGATACCACGTAGTTAGAGGGGTGACAGGTTACCCACCCTGGTGCTCCTCCAGGTCCATGTCCAGCTGTCTGATCTCCTCCTGTAGAGCGTTGATCTTCTCACGGATCTCTCCAGTTCTGGGGAGACAGAGACATGCTTCATAAAACAGTCTTCACTAAAGACTTAATGTCCTAAATAGTGCTGCATACCTAAACCCAATTCCGGATTCAAGTCCAGAGGTTTAGGTTCAGTTCCGGACTTGTAAGTCCGGACCTAAACCCAAGGCATATACAAAATTGTATATATGTTGGCAACTCTGCAATGTTGTCTGGGTGAAACTTTGGCCACATAACATGGAGGCCGGTACTTGACGATGCCCGATGGCAATGTTTTCTTCATTTTGCAGCACAAATTTTCTAATGTACGGAAGGTTTTAGGTGGTTTGGAAAGAAAAGGGGTGTGTGAAATGGTCTTTTATGGTAATAAGTCCAGACTCGGTTCTTGACTTTTAGGTTTTTTTGGACTTGAACCTAAACATTCTTACAAGTCCGGATCCAAGTCCAGTGAACCGGTATGCAGCACTAGTCCTAAATGTGTTACTGTGAACACTGGTAGAAGTCTTGAGTACAGTCAAACCTGCCCAAGCCGGCCACCCAGGGGACCAAAGAAAAGTGGTCACCTTGGACAGGTGGTCTCCTTGAAGAGGGTCGCCTCACAACATGACTGAGACATAAATGGTTTCCAAGTCAAGATGTTTTCACGTCAAATGCTGTAAGCATCTTCATTTCTGTGATAAATGCATGTGGGGAGGGTGGCACATGGAACAATTTACGTCAAACAAAAAACATCATCCAGCAGTCAAGGCAAACTGGCTGGTTTCTCCAGGATTAGTAATCCATGAATAGTTTCTCCGTGATTTCTCATTATCAATAATCAACATGATCTGTGGTCGCCATGGGCAAAATCTAGACCTCACTTGGAGATCCATACACAGTGAATTCTGACCCTGACCTGCCAATGTAAATAGTACTTTTAACAGTGATCCTTAGTTTAAGCCTTTGTGTACTTAATAGATAATCCTGTAGATGCAATGAGCTGACAAATTTGCTTTTAATGTCCTGTCTTTATCTAGTGTAGCTTTTCAAGGGTTAGCCCTATAAAATAGTCTTGTAACTAGTTGGGCAACCCTGGCTGTCTTTTGTACAGCTGAACCAATAGAATAAAAAGAAAAAATACTGCAAAGTCAAACCATGCGACAGTAAAGCTTCGGTCACAACCCGCCGTACGTGCTTCTGCGTGCTGTCTACGTGCAAAAACGTGGGCAAACGTAGGGCATCCGTGCGTGGTGAGTACTGCCTCCGTACGGAATCCTACGGATTTGGGAGCACGCAGACACGTCGTAGAACTTTAAGTGCAAGTAAAACTTTTTCTGCGTGCAGTCTACAGATTCACCACCCGTACGTGCGAGTACGGGCGACGCGCGTGCCCTGTACGTACCGTACGAAAGACGCACGTGTGAGTACGGCCTCCTTACGGTAAAGTTGCAATCGCACAGAGATTGTACGTTGTAAGCACGTACAACGCACTTACCACTTGCGCAACGATGCACGCAACCGCTTACGGCCAGACGTGGCGTGCAGACCACACTCTTACACCTTGCAAAACTGTGCGAGTCATGTGCGTTGATGCCACTCCTTCCCCACGTTTTCAGAAAAAAACGTAGCAGACGTTGCCTCCCAAAAAACGTACGGACAAAAAGCATGCACGGCGGGTTGTGACCGAGGCTTAAGTGACTTCCAGCATGACTTACTGCCTGTCCATGCTGGCGATCTCCTGGTTATCCTCCTTGACCTGTTTGAGTAGTTTCTCGCGCTCCTCGGCGGGCGAGCCCTTGGCCTGGTCCTCCTGCATCAGGTTGTCCCGTTTCTCCTCCAGCTCGTGTAGCTGCTCGTACAGTCGGACTGCCTCCTGTTTGATCGTGGACGTCGACAGCTCCTGCCAAAACCATACAACAGGCATGAACGTTACGTTTCACATCAAACTGCCTCCAGTTTACATGTGTATATCCGTAAATAATTTCATCAGGTTGGTAAACGAATGAATAGCAAAGTTCTTTGATCACAACCATTTATTTTTCACGAGCCGACGTTTCGATGACCGTCTGTCATCTTTATCAGGGCAATTCCGACTGGTTTACTGTGCACTGACGCTAGATGTTACTTGGTGTATAGTGCACAAAAGGTGTTACATAGTTCACAGTGTACTGTTACTTGGTTCACAGTGCACTTAAGCTTGTTATTACTGTTAACAATGCATTTCCGATGCCTATGCACCAAGTAACATCTAGCGTCAGTGCACAGTAAACCAGTCGGAATTGCCCTGATGAAGATGACAGACGGACATGGAAACGTCGGATCGTGGAAAATTTGTTGTGATCAAAGAACTTTGCTATTGAGCCTCCAATTTAATTCTGGAATTCCAATTTAATTCTGGACTAATGTCCTTATCTCAGCAACCTTATATCTAGATGGGCTAATGTTGTAAACTGTAGGTAAAAATGATGTAAGAAATATGTAGCAGCCATCAAGGACCCCTTGGGGATTAACCCAGTTCTGGGAACTAGAGCCAGAATTCTACAGAATTGGGTTAATCCCCAAGGGGTGGATGCTATGTCTACATATTTCTTACATCATTTTTGCTTATCGTTTACGATATTAGCCCATCTAGATGTAAAGTTACTAAGATATGGGAATTAGTCCGGAATTAAACTTTTAAAAGATTCCTTGCTGAGCTTCTCCCTGCTGCCTAACACATTGTCCAATACCCAAACAGCTACTTCAGTGTGCTAAATGTGTTAACACTTTAACAGTCTGTTGTCCTGTAAATCTTACTTTCAAAGTTTTCAAAGTGACCTGTAAAATGTGAATTCACGACACCGAATCTTGTGTCGTTTGAGTTGCCGAAATTTGCAGCCAAAAATCATATACACTGCAAATTAACGTTTTATTATTGTATCAACTTGCTGCAGTATGACTAAACAAGTATACTTACATCTTCCAAGTTCTCCCTCTTCATATTAAGAGAATCCAGTTCTTGTTGTTGTCTCTCCAGATTCTACGGTAGATAAAGATTAGACATGTAGGCAAAAGAGGTACATATTCAAGAAAACAGTTATAATCGAGCAACTGGATACTATACGATTTTGACTGTCAAGACATTTCAAGTAGCTACAGTTGAACAGGTATTTATAAAAAAAAACTATCAATTGATATATAAACAAGGTACAGCCAGTGTAAAAATAAATTGAGATACAAATATTAGATGATACTAATACTAATAGACAAAAAATGCAGCAAAAAATCTACCAAACCTTTTGTAAATGTAATTAGAAGATTAAGAAGTACATAGTGTGAACTATACCTCCAGTAATGCTAGGTTTGCTTGCTTAAGCTGGGTGTACAAGCCTTTCTTGTCTTGACTCTGCAAAAAATGAGAAAAAGTACCATAGTAAACATATAAAATGTTGTTTATGGGCGAGTTATGCCTGAAATAAAGAAATAATAAATAATAAACATAGAACAAGAATGTATATCAAACTAGTACAAGGAGTTTTTCCTGGTCTAATCTACCAGAATGTAAAGATTTGTTCAATCTCGCACTTTTGTTGACATTTTACAATAAAAGTTGTAGTGTTACATCCTAGAAAATGCAATTTCTAATGTGAGAGTAGGGGAGAACTTTACCATGCCTTCCACCAAGCTGTCCGTCAGGCGACGCTGCTGTTCTATCTCCTGTTCCAGCTGTCTCAGCTGTTCCTCTTTCCTGTTCACAAAAAAAGAAAATGTTCAGCACAATCTTTTCCTATCCACAAACACATGAACTACAGTAACTGGACAATCCTATAATCACAAAACTGCATCATCTACATCCCTCTTTCAGACAAATCTGTTTCCAAATTTTGTTTTTTGTTGGTTTTGTATAGGTCCTATCCAAGGGACATTCTGCCACCAAAACTAGGTACTCATTTCCAACTGAGTGAAGTGAGAAAAGTTGTGCAAAGTGCCTTTCCTAAGGGCACAAGATCGGTGACATGGTAGGATTTGAACCCACGACCTCTTGGTCTTGAGCCAAACATGATACCATTCACGCCACACGACCCCTTTAAGATTACAAACCAAATGAAGAAATTGACAAGGCAAAAACTCACTGTCTTCTCTCTGTGAAGATGGTGTCCATGTTCTTCTCTTCTCTGTCATTCTGGACTTTCAGCTGTAAAAACAACGGATTGAGAAGTTCTGTATCCACAGTCCAGTTCTTTTTCTGTTCCAATTTTCACTTATATCTTTTCAGTTTCACTTTATGCCCAACAAGATGTACATGTACATTGATTTTTGTTAAATGCTTCTACATGCAAGTTAACCAGTGTCGGTGTACAAAATACTTTTTAAACCAGGTTGCCCAGTGGGCAGCCTATGGCAAAAATTAGGTTGCCCATCAGAATTTTAGGTTGCCCCACCTTTAAGTTACTCCTTTCTTCGAATTAAGTAATGTTACATACATAAGCCTTTGACAATATTTCTAACAGCCTTTAGTTAACTGATTCTATTAATAGCCATTAATACCTAAAATTAAAAAGCATCTGCTGGATACAGTGGTGCAAGCCAAGTGGGCATGATTTGGGGGGGGGGGCATTCTTAGAATTTAGGTAGCACACTGGGCAACCTAGGTTCAGAAATAGGTTGCCCCAAGTAAAATTTGGTTGCCCGGGGCAACTGGGCAACCAGGTATTTTGCACGCTGAGTGTGCAGTAATACAGTAGTAATGGCACTTAATTTACTTACCATGTTGTAATCTTCCATCACTTCTTCCATCTCTGTATCTGTGTTTATCTTGTCAACAAGCTGAAGAAAAATGTATCAAGGTGTATCAGCTTATGCATAATTTCCATACAATACAAAACCACTGATGTCAGTTATACATGTAATTACTTAAATTAGTTAGGAGAAAACACACACCATGTTGTAGTCAGCCAACTCTCCTTGCAAGCCTCTGAGTTCACTGGCCAGGGTTTCAGCCCTAGACAAAACAATTATCAATTTATTAGAAACATTTGTGAGAAAACAAATTTTGCAGTAAAACCTGGCACATTTCTGACATTGACAGTGAAAATTACCATCACCAACACTATAACGAATGCTACTTTTGAAAGAACATAAGGATAATTATATCATACCCGGGCCGCGATAACGTTCGATAACGGATTCTGTACCGGGCCTATACTTTACGGTACGGCCCGGGCTTCCCTGGCTTCCATAGAACGATTCGAACGCGTTTTGCCCAAACTGCATGAGCAGATTTTGAAAATTCGAATACAGAATCCGGACATTGGAATTGATGTTGTTGCATTGGGTTTAGGGGCACTAACTTTTGGCTCATCTACCATTGAAAGCTGAGTTTTCTTCGGTGGGTATGACATAAATAAAATACAACACGATGTATTCCGCATCACCCTCGGTCCCGGCCCTCCCACGAGTCGGGTCGATACCCCAGGCGATACAGAATACCCCATGTTGTATTCTATATATTACACATAGCAGGTTGGTTAACAGCTAGGAAGACTAAAGACCCACCTTTTCTCATAAGACAGGTAGGAAGAGTTCTCCTGTTCCAGATTCTCCTTTTCTCTCGTCAGCCTGGTCACCTCAGCCTGCAGTTCCTGGATCTTAGACCTAGAATGTAGGGGGAGCAGCTGACATTAGTGCCAGTTACAACATGCCAAGTGCATGTACATGTAGATGTAGTTACATGTCTCAAAGCCCTATTATCATTATGTACTACCTAAGGCCACACCAATTTAATTTCTTGGTTAACGGATTCGCCCGCTTCATTTTTTTCTGATTTGCAAATAAAAATAAAACTTCAGAATCAACTGCAAAATGCTCATATTTTGCCCTGAACAATTAAAAACAGTCCTTTTCATCCTAGTTGTTACAGTTATTCCATCTTTTTTAATGCAATGGTATCATTAAAAGTTCAAAATTTTTTTAATTTTGAACCGGCCTGGTGTGTTGACTTCATGGCTCCTATCGTACCATTTTGGGCCATAATAGGATGCCTAGGCCTGTTTTTATTACTCCGTGAAGGAGGTCAGGACCTCCGGACGGAGTGTTGTGAACGGCTGATTTTTCATGTTCGCAGTCAAAACACTGGGTTCTCTTTTTGTAATCGGCACGCAATTTTATACGCCGTCTGCGGGCATGCCCGTGTTGATGCACGAATGTGTATTTTTGCCGTTGCTGCTTTCGCGGTCAATGTAATATTGCAGACGCACCCCTACAATTACGAGGCGAATTGGAATGGTCCAGAAAAACGCGTTGTTTGGAATAGCAGTGGGGGGGGGGGTGGAACTTCATGCAGATACGGGGTGGTTTTGATAAGTGGTTCCAGATGTTTTTGCCCATGGATAAGAGATGGCAAGTTTTTTGGAAGATGTTCGCAGCCAAAACGCATTCTTCCGTACGTCGCATTTCTGTGTAATTTCGCATGTGGTGTGGCATTATGTCCGGGATGATGCACGTCTTTTTATTTTTACCGTAGCTGTTTTGATATTGGAGTAAATGCTTATTTTCGAAACATCCCCATGTCGCTGAAATGTTTTCGTCCGGCCGTTTATGTGACCGGTAGTAATTATAAGTCGCGGTCAGGCTGATGGGGACGGAAATGTGGGGTGGTCAGAGGTCAACATGACGAAATATAAATACCGATGACGTAATCCTATCGATTTCAAACTGGTCGGCTGTGGCGACCTAGTGGCGGCGTGTATTTAGTCACGTAGCAACTGGCCGGTCGTCCTAGCAACGAGCATGCTGGCCGCTTCTCTGTAAACATGGACCATATTTTTGAGCAACCCATCAATGTGTTCTGCCTCGTGGTCGGATGTGGTCTGGGGCTGGTAAACCGCACATACTAGTAGATCGGGTAATTTTATGATTTGCTAGTTGTAAAGGCGTCTTGTAGTATGAGCCGGTATATGAAGAAGTACTCTGATGTCCCGATTAAACGTACCGGTACGTTTATTTTTTTCGGCCCGAACGTCCACCCGGTACATTCTTATTAGGGACGGTACGTTTATTAATTTTTGGGAAAAAAATTGTCCGTACGTACCGCACCATCAGCAAGTGGCCGGCGGCCGCAAAATTCGGCAACACGTCACAGATAAATATTTGGTCCATGATAGCGGCATTTCCCATGAATATAATGTATATTATTTATTTTTCGCCTGCTGTCCATTTTTAAGTCCCAAAACGTCTGAAAAAGCAAAAATTTGCCCACAAAACCGAAGGGGAAGGCGAGTAGCTAATCGACGTATTTAGCACACGGCGGCCGCAAGTCCTTGTCAAAATCGGCAACGCGGCAGAAAATGCCTGGTCCATTTTAGCGATATTTACCATGAAGAAAACGTATGTGGTTTATTTTCCCTCTGGTGTTAGTTTTTAGGTCCCGAAACCCCTAAAAAAGTGAAATTTGCCCACAAGACGGACGGCCGACGTGGGGAGGGCGCCTAGCGCCTGAGCAGCATGACCCGTAAAAAGTCAAAGGTCATAGGGCACCCATATTGCGCAATCACCGTAAAAGCGCCGATTTAGCTAATTTTAAGGGCGTTTAAAATTGATACAATCACATTATCGATTTTTTAAAAAACAATGAGATGGAAACCAATCAAAATTTTATGCTGAATAATATTTTTTTTCTTCAAAAGTTTTTTTCTTCAGAAGTTTTTTCTTCTTCAGAATCCAGACTTTGACCAGACTAGACAATGTACCATACCAATAAATTATTATGTTGAAATGGATTTTGTTGTAGATATACTCATTAAACCCCTATATTTGTACTTAATTGGGCTTGATTTTCTATCTCTTAAGTTAGTCAGATTTTCAACTCAAGTTGCAGGAGAAGGCTTAGCAAAGTGCATTTCAGAAGTGTAAAATGCAATAGCTTCTCCTACGGATTTTGTATTTCCCCAAAACAAGTACAATATATATATACTCATTAATTAAAGTGATATATACTCACTAATTAAATGTAACAGTGAAAGATTTGCCAATATATTGGTATTGAAATAAAGAGCACATTTTAGTATCAAAGACACACAGTTCACCTGTCAATTTGGTCATTTTCCGGGGGGTACGTTTATTCCGGAGGGTATGTTTATTAGACTTTGACGATTTGTCCGGGGGGTATGTTTATTCCGGGGGGTATGTTTATTAGGGACATGAGAGTAGCCTGTGTTACACAATCATGCTTTCGGCCGGATTGATGTGCAACTGTTACTAATTTAGTAATTACAGGGACTGCGCTAATGCCGACCAGTCGCGCTGTCCTGATACACCGCGAATGTTGGGCAATATGCGAGTGTTCCCTGTAGACAGTCCCGGGAGTCATTTTTTTCCAACATTCGCACATTCCAGGAGCCAAACCAAAATACGTTCATGAACCGAGTCCAAAAAACCTAAACATGAAAATCGGATGATTGGACCTGATGTACATTTCTCTTTTTGTAGATTGTACACACAATAAACACATCTTTACTTTAGATAATCTGGCCATGGCAGGTAAAAAAAAGTAACCCTGAATCATACTAGATTAGTGTAAATGCATGTATATGCGTTCAAAACAAGAAAAGAAATTGTTTCCCGGTATTAATCTCTTGAAACACGGCGCTGAATATTGACGCAACAATATTTCGGGCATCGCGCGCCCTTCCCCGTTGTTTAGACTGCATGCAAATCCCGCATCACGTGTCGGCATTTCGCATCTCTGATTGGTTGTTGAGTCTTAAGATGACTGAGCCGACGTGCGTTTAAACAATTTTTCTTTGTTCGATTTATCACACTTCACAGAGAATTGCCAATGGCTACTTCTTTTTGTTGCAATATATAATACTTCACAGAGAATTGTCGCCTATGGCTTCTTGTTTTTATTTATTTTTTGCCCGCCCGCTCCATTATTTTTCTAGAAAAATCCGTTAACCAAGAAATTAACTTGATGTGGCCTAAGACCAACATTTCAAGAATACATTCTTCAATGACAAATCTATCTTACCTGAGCTGGCCAAGCCAAAAGGATCGGTCTTGAACTTGTCTCTGTGGACCTGTATGTTTGCAGTGAGAAAAATATGGCCTAGTCATTTAACCTGCTTCCTGCTACCTTATCCTGTAACCAAGTTTCGAACAGCTACCTCAGTGTGCTAAAGGTTAACATGTCTTAATATGTCCTGCCTACATAATAAAACATTCCCCAAATGTTTGCATACAAGGCTTATGACATACATGTAGATTGCATATGGCTTAGTGTTATATTCTATCAAATTTCATGTTACTGTAATTCATTTTATGTTCATCAAGGTAGCAAAAGTTCACTGTCTGAGAGAAATAGACATGTTTGCAGAACAATACTAGTTAAGTAAGTATGTTCATGATGGTGGCAGTGTTGTTCACAGTAATTATATGTTTGCGGTACAGAAGTGACCATGAAAACCGCAAACATAACAGTACAACGAAAAAATTATGAATTATAGTATATAGCTCCACAGTATGTTTGCTGATATACTGTACACCATACCTTTAGCTCCAGTCTTCATGCCACCAAGACCTTGCTGGGTCATAGGTCGGTCAACAACCCTCACTTGGGAACCCAGCACTGAAGGGGAACAATTACAAACAAGATCAGAAGATAAAATACACTCTTTTTTTACATCTCACATAGGTGATACATATTTGGTGTAGTTAAAGCTTGAGGACATTTAACATATTATTTCTAAAACACAAATGCCTCTAACATACCGTAGAATTTGTTAAGCTCAAAGCTAAACCGGACACTCAGTAGTGCTGCGTACCGGTTCACTGGACTTGGATCCGGACTTGTAAGAATGTTTAGGATCAAGTAGAAAAAAACCTAAAAGTCAAGAACCAAGTCCGGACTTATGACCATAAAAGACTATTTCACAAACCCCTTTTCTTTCCAAACCACCTAAAACCTTCCGTAGATTGCAAAATCTTTGCTGCAAAATGAAGAAAACATTGCCATCGGGCATCGTCAAGTGTCGGCCTCCATGTTATGTGGCCAAAGTTTCACCAAGATAACATTACAAGATTCCAACATGCCATGGGCTTAGGTCCGGGCTTACAAGTCCTAAATCTCTGGACTTGAATCCGGACCTGAACCTAAATGTGGGTTTAGGTATGCAGCAGTGAGTGAGTGAGTGAGTGAGTGAGTGAGTGAGTGGAGAGGTTAAATGTCTGCTAAGTCTAAGTATGATGTAGGAAAACATTCCAATGGAGGCCAATAAGCCTTAGTATAGACTTTATATTGTATTGTATTAAACTCTTTGTCATATAGTATATGCATAAATCCCCACCTGAACCACCTGCAGCACCTCCACGTGTACCTGGGCGTGCCGTGCCAGGTGCCTGAGGAACACAGCAGGTGAAAATCTCATTTAAATACACATCACATTGTCTTTCATACCGGTACATCCTACTGTATCCAAAACAAAACACCAGAAACTAGTAGGCAGTTAAAAACTGCTTGTTACACGTATATTTTTACAAAGTTGTTTATAGTATTATTGGTAACAGTAGTTGGTTTCAAAACTAAGACCAGACAAAAAAATTATTATGAAAACACTTTAAAACAGAAGATTAGTTCGAATCTAATCGTAGACACTTACCCCTGTCCCAAGTCTAATAGCTGTAGGTGGTGCTCGAGACATTGCTGTAAAGAAAATAAGTGATTTTTTTTTACAAAAAAAAAAAAACGTTTGTCATACATAAATGCTGTACACACATGCTACTGGATAAAATAGAACTTTTAAAGACAGGAAACACTAGACCTTGACCTGATTCAAGTTTATGCATAAAGTGATAAAATTTTGGGATATATTTAGATCTGGAGTCTTAGCTTCACAGGCACTGCATCCTAGGCGACAGTGCCCCCTGTTGATCATTGTGAGAACTGCAGCTCATGCTGCATCAGCAGGTGTTTGCTGTTTCTCTGAGTATTTTTCCATACCTGTTGGCTGTCTGGCTGTTCCTCCTGCCCTGGATCCTGGTCTGCGTCCTGAACTTGTCGGCGGTCTGAAGTCAGCCCTACAGACACAAGTTTCCAGTTTAAAATCATAGTTGTCTCCAAAGCTTTTCCCCTACAGCTAAATGCAGCAAAGCATGCTTTCTTTGTCAAGCTTTATCTATTACTTACATGTTTCATATATTTCTTGTTCTTTAATTGTCACTCTTTTTAGACAACACTGGAATTTGTAGTAAATAATCTATGTGTGAGCTGGGTATGAGAATTTTCTTTTTCCTATGTTGTAAAAAAATTATCAGACATAGAGTTTGTGTAGCTTTACAAGTTTATGCATAGTATAACTGTTGCTTCCACAATCTAGCGGACTAGAATGAGAGGAATACAGGTTTCACCTAAAAGCTGTGTGTGTAAGCAAAGTTTCGTGAAATAGGCATTCCTAGTCTTATGACTGTGTGTGAGTGCTGTACACATGATGAGTTGTTCTGCAAGTAGTAAATCTAAATCATGTACACGTATGATTTGAAATGATTTACACACATACACATACTGGTCAGGTGGCAGGTGGTCTTCCAAACTGGTGTATTGAGTGTTATGCAGTGCAGACCTTCCATACAAGTGTACTGTTAGGTCATACTTTATACACATATGTAGGAGTCTGCATGGAGGGCATTGTACTTGTATTTCAAACTGATCCGAATTATTGGCAGTCATCATGTGTTAATTGCAACAACATCACCATACCCTATGCATTATTTAAATCAATCACCCTACTATGGCAGTTCACCTAGATTGATTTAGAGTGGTCTGATTGAGTTGATTTAAAAGGCATGCAGATCCCCACAAACATGTGTACACCAAATCCATGCATCGCAGTAAATAAAACACACCCATGACGTAGACCTAAAGCATGCTGGGAGATGCAATGCACTATGGGTAGGGCAAATGGGAAATAACATGATTACCATGACAACATAAAAAGTCATTTCCCAGACGGCACATGGTATGCCGCATTGTCCTGGTAAATGGTGTTAATTGACCCAGGCCCTGTATTTAATACCCATAGTGCCCCACATCTCCCAGCATGCAATATGATCCTTGAAATGGTCTGTAATTTTAATCTGGTCATTACTCCTTCCTTGTCCATCAGCAGTACTTAAAAGGTAACAACTTAGACAAGGCCACACCAATTTAATTAGTTGGTTCTCAGATTTTTTTAAGAAAAAATATGAAGTAACAGGGCGAAAAAATAAAAATAAAAGCAGGTCTAGGCATCCTATTATAGCACCAAATGCAATGATAGGAGCCATGAAGTCAACACAAAAGGCTGGATTAATATCTAAACAATGAATTTTGAACTTTTAATCAAACCACTGCATTGATAGATGGAAAAACTGTAACAACTAGGAAGAAAAGGACTTTCCTCAATTATGGTTGGGGGCAAAATATGAGCATTTTTGAGCTGATTCAGAACCAGAATCTTTTTTTTCGCAAATCAGAAAAAATTGAAGAGACGAATCCGAGAACCAACAAATTAAATTGGTGTGGCCTAAAGTCCTGTCGATAGACAAGAAGGAGAAATGATTTGATGCTGCATTTCTACCATCTATTTATCTTGTTCCCTTGGAACCCACACAAGCGCATGTAAGCAAGGCTAACTACTGCACTAAAAACTACCAAAAAACGGCCGCTTTACAAAGAACATGAGACCTTCTACTTAAGTCTAGTAAAGACCCGCTGTTTTCCTCCCGAATCACTCCTGCTGGCGTCTGGCCGCAAAGCGCTGCTGTAGGATACTGTGTACAGAGAAAATACGTGACTTACCTGAAAAATTATCATGGTCTTGGATCAGAAAGTCAACAGTGGTGAGCCAGTATTAACAAATTATGTCCCCCGGTCTGTGCCGTCATTAACTTTCAAAAGAGGTGGAGGAAGGTTTTCAACATTTTAGTCAATGTCTTTTTACGCCTGTTATAATTATTTGTGAGCCAGATAAAAGTTTAAGTGTTCGGGTTGTCAAGATACACACATATAGCCCCCCTCCCAGCACTTTCTTCTTTAAACATAATCACAATGTTTCGTGTTACGAGAATCCCTCAATCATAGTAACTTGAATGGGTCAATATACTTACATATATCGGTCAGCTTTACCCACCTACAATAACATATGGTCCGAAAACGTAAAGCTTAGTTTGAAGTCTGGGACAGTTCCAGCCAACTTTGGAGCGTTTTGTTTTCTGCACAAAAATGTGCGCAAAGCATGCCGGGAGCCGGAATAGTCCATTACAAAATAGGGATTACAAGATAATGCAATGCATACTGCTTTGAAGTCAGTACTGGCTTCTACTCTTTGTAGTGCAAGATACATTGTACTGGAAATGGATGGAAAAGTGCTTATAACAAAGAAAATAACAATAAAACAAACTAAAAGTACACCAGTCTCTAACGATTGCACCATAGTGAAAGAAATAAAATAAAATACACAACATTCACTCAAAGTGAGTCACCTTCTATCTTTGTTGGTGACAACTTTCTAAAGACAGTGAAAGACACTGGGAAGGATAGGACTGAGACTCCACAAAGTTTTCATTTTGTTTCATATCTAACTGATATCTGTGTGATCTAATTCTATGGACAATGACAGCCAAGAACATGAGGTGTTGCAATGTTTTAATATTTCTGTTCAGTAACCTTTGCAGTGGTCAATGGAAAGTAACAGTCTGGTAGAGATGAAAGTAAAGCATAACAACATCACAGAATGACACTTTTCTTGAATAAGGCTGCTGTGTTATAATATGGGCTCTGATTGCTATATACATGTATAACTATCATTAGCTCCTGTATCAATGCCAATTTATAACAGTTGATAAAACAGCTAAGGCCACACCGATTTAATTTCTTGGTTAATGGATTTTTCTAGAAAAATAATGGAGCGGGCGGTTGAAAAAAAAATAAAAACAGGCCTAGGAATCCTATTATGGTTAAAAATGGTTACGATAGGAGCCATGAAGTCAACACACCAGGCTGGTTCAAAATTTAAACAATGAATTTTGGACTTTTGATGATAGATCTACCATTGCATTGAAAGATGGAATAACTGTAACAACTAGGATGAAAAGGACTGTTTTCAACTGTTCAGGGCAAAATATGAGCATTTTGCAGTTGATTCTGAATTTTTATTTTTATTTGCAAATCAGAAAAAAATGAAGCGGGCGAATCCGTTAACCAAGAAATTAAATTGGTGTGGCCTAATAACATTTGTGTAATTGTACAAAGTATAACACATGCTGAAGTGACTAAAAATAGATGTGCCATGAGACTTTTGCTTAAGTACTGTGTTTTTGTTTCTTTCTATTCTGGGCAGGACAAAGCACTCAAAATATTGAGGTATCTAGTTGATTTAAAGACTTCTGTTTCAATTCAACACAACCACATATTACTCAACCACACAAAGCTGTTACTGAACAATGTTGCACAATTACATGTATACTGACCATGAAACATTGAAGCACATCACAATCACATCACATAAAACCAATATACTATGATATTTATGTATATATTTCAGTCATTGTCACATTTATCTGATGACATACATAATGCCACTGTCCACATATACCATATGTATACGTGCTATGAGTTCTCTATGTAGTGTAGAACACTCTTATAAAATGCCATAATAGGAATTGGATATTTCTTATCTTTTGGAATTTGATGTAAATCCTTTTGTACTAACTAAACATGAGTATGGGCTTAAAGAAGATTTCCTTTATATTACATTTTGGGTTTATACTATAGACAAAGGCATAGCTATATCTCTGCATTTTCATTTGTTTCACATTCACTGACAATGTACATGTAATTACAATGACACAGTGGCTGACAGTGCATAGTGCATACTGAACTGATACATTAGCAATACCGGTAGACAAATCACATGGCCCTGCCTACTTCCGTCAAAACATGAAATTGAAAATGCAAATATTTGACGGACATGCTGCCACTTTCTCATTCGTTGAAATGCTAATTGCCATTCTCTTATTGGTTGAACTGCTAATGTGATGGACAGTCAGGATCGGTCTAAAATTATAATGTAACATGTTAACTGTAAAAACAAGGTGGCTTCATTTATGATTTCTAAAAACTTAAGATCAACATAGTCCTCCAGCAAACTCATCTTCCTCATCAGCCCCGTCCTCCTGGTTTTCTAGTTGTCCCTTTTCCATTCCTCCTTCGATTCCCTCATCTAATAACTCTACCTTCTTCTTCTTACCCCCTTCCCCACCCCCCGGTGCCTGTAACCCACGGGCCAACTTGGCGTAATCGTTGTCCATGAACTTGAACATCGGTCTAGCCGCGACGGAAGATAGTCGTTCCTGGTCGTTTTCGTCATACGCATCCAACAACTCGGCCAAGTCCCGACAGTGATCGCTTTCAGGGAACCCCGGGATGCCGTACGCATCTTTGTACGCCTTATCGGCTGCCACAAAGTCGCCTCTCGCCAGGTGACACAGCACCAACTCTACCGTCACCCTGCTAACTTCTGGTCCGTTCTCTCCTTCGATCTGGAACTTCTTCTCGACCTGGAGGACCTCGACTGCTCTGTCATAGTTCCCCATCCTTACCAGAAGCTTGGCGGCTTTCTTCTGGAAGTCGGCTGCTTGTCTGGGTCTGTCCTCACACTCAGTTATATCACTGCCTATCATGTAGTAGTCCACGGACTTCTGTGGGTTGGTAGGCTCGAGAAGCTTGGCTAGCCTGTCAAATGTAGACGCCGCGGTGTCTGGTACCCCGTGCTCTCTGTACAGGTGTCCCGCCTTCTCGATGAGCTGGGCAGCTCGGTTCAAGTCGTTTAGTTCCTTGCACATCATCCCTGCCTGCTCGTAGGCCTTCCCTGCGTGGAACATGACGTTATTCTGGGCGTTGCACTCGGCCGCTTTTAGGAATGCTTGCCTGGCTTGGTCGTAGGACTTTGCCGTCCTGAAACACGTACCTGCTTTTGTGTAAGCAGACGCCGCGCCGTCGTAGTCGGCCTTCCACTTGAAGAAGGACGTTTTCATACATTTTTCTGCTTCTTTTATGTGCTCTAGACCTTCGGCAACACGTCGGTCGGCAGCCATGATGAAACTTTGCACACCTCAAAATTTTGGTTATTACGCGAGGAAAAAAAGCTCCCTAACCCAAAGCCAAAGGCTATCTTTCGCTCAAAAAACTGATACTGTACAAGAAAAATACTAAACACGACATTGTAAACACAAAACACTGAATATGGTGTCCTGACTTGATGATTTTGAGGCTTATATGTGCTGCAAATACGCGGAAGAACACTAAACCAGACAGTGATGTGACCATCGACCTTCCCAAAATGTCAACAAGACATTTTTAAGAATACTGAATAATATACAATTTGACAATAGGATATCTTAATCTATGATATTAATCAATACACATTTCTCTCCAAAGAATTGGATTTTTAGAGATTATGGCCGTTTCTTATAAAACTGTATTTTTTTTCATTTCCCGACCTAACCCCTCTGTGTGCGTAAATGTAATATTCCTGTAAACTTTGACCTTTTGGCACATGCAATCACAACTTCTGACCACAGAAATTCTGTGAAATTCGAGATTTTAATCCATGTATTCTGACGTTTGTAGGATTTTCTATTGACTCAGTCCGAGTCAGGATGATAGACCTGTATCTGTGTCACGGCCACGTGTACGTCTGGAACGCTTCAGCCGCCTGTGAGCTGCGGGAACAGCACAGAATCGTCGGGACGTTTGTGGGGGCTCTCCCCCGCCTGCCCCGGCAGAACGTCAGGCTGGGACGGCCTCTTCAACTCATGCCAGAGGAGACCACGTTACTGCTGAATAAAGGCATAGCCAGGTAACATATTACAGAGGGGTTTACATAGTCTGCTGGGGACAGCTAGAAACCATGTACCACAAGAACTAGAAAACAGCACATATAATAAGCGGGTTGGTGGAAAAAGGACTCCAGTCCGATCGGCGGAAAAAGCAGTTCAGTCCGATTTGGGGGTGGAAAAAGCAGTCCGGTAGTTTCTGTGTGTAGCAGCGTCCTCTTGCGAAATACAATAAAAGTGCAAGCAGTCTGGTGTGTCCTTTTTCCATCAACCCTAATAAGCAAGAAACTCTGCCAAGAAACCTGCTAAAAATTTATTATGCAATACATGTATCTCGTATATGGAGGCTAAATCAAATTATACACCTGATTTGAATGGGAAACTGTAAAAACTTACTACATAGTCATTCGTGTAAAAATTTTGAAGAACAATTTTGTCTTATGAAGATTTAAAATTGTAGATCATTCATAAACCTGTTGTTGTCCTTGTTTAACATCTAATATATTGCTTGGTGCTCGTTTTCGCGTGGTTCAGTTCAGAGTCAAAAAGTCTCTCTAGGTACATGTATTTAACTCTTTGTGCCTTGTGCTTGAGTGAAGTTTGAAGTGTCTTTATGAGAGCACATCGAAGCGGTGTGTACTCTCAATGTACCGGGAGAGGGCTAGGTACATCTGGTTGTTCTGAAAGTCCTTCTCTCATTCCGGCTAGGGTGATGATATCCGTGTCTCTGTTTTCTTCTTCTATGTTGTAAACCCACTCCTAAAAACCAACCACCTGCTATGTCAAAATCATACACAAACTATTTTTCCAGGTTACTGGATGGAAGCATCCCTCCGAAGACAGGTGAAGAAGATTTACAAGCTATAACAGAACATAGGAAGCAAAGCTTCAGGGAACAGTCCGAGATGTGTAAGAATGACAGGAAGAGGAAACTGCACGAAATGGCCAGTGTCATCGCCAAAGGACGGGCGGCTAAAAGAAAAAAGCTTGCACAGAAGGCGAAACCAGCTGAGGAAGGTTCTAGTTCAGTGTCCAACAATGATGTCACCAGTTCAAGTTGGGATCAGCCAGAAGAGGAGAAAGAGCCAAGCTTGTCTGTTGAAGAGATGAAAGAATTGGAGGCCAGGCTGGACAAGACTACAGGCTACAATGAACAGGCCTTTCTGGTGCAGATTCTGACAGGTAATTATAAGATGGTCAGGTACCCTGTGATCATTGCAAGCTCCATGATTCTGTCACAGTGGCCATACAAAAGTACAGAGACACAAACATCACGTCTTGTCGTTTCTTAATCCCCTTTGAAGTACCCGAATCACGGGTAACATTACCCTTCTAGAACCCCTTCCTTCGAACAGGTGTCGTTGCTACCTGTTTGAACACCCGCTCAAACACCGGTGTGCTCGAACAGGCAGCGAACCCCCGCTCGAAGGAAGGGTCTTACTACTACATACAATGTAAGTGCTTACAGTATATGTACATATAGAATACAACACAGTGTATTCCGTATCGGCCCAACCGTGCGTCTGCGGGAGGGCCGGGACCGAGGGCGATGCGGAATACACCGTGTTGTATTTTATTTATGTCATACCCACCCAAGAAAACGCGCCTTTCAATGCAAGATGAGCCAAAAGTTGGTGCCCCTGAACTCTCAAATGCAACAACAGTCAGTTCCAACGTTTGGATTCTGTATTCGAATTTTTGAAAGCGGCACACGCAGTTAGGGCAAAACGCATTCAAATCGTTCTATGAAAGCCATGGAGCCCGAGCCGTACCGTAAAGTACGGCCCAGTCCGGAACCTGTTTTTGAACATTATCGCGTCCCGGGTATGATATAAAGTACATGTTTACACTGTCACTTCGTGACAATTCTACCAACACAGATGGACTTCCAAGCTAACCTTCTTTTCCTTCATCTAACCTACAGAACAAGTTACAGAAGAACCCCAGGAAGCCGTCCCCTGGAACTACCCCACCACAGACAGAGAGGCTCTCAGATGTCAGGTTTTCCAAGACCTGTGGGAGAAGGGTTACTTCCTCACCAGTGGCGGCAAGTTTGGCGGAGACTTTCTGGTGTACCCCGGGGATCCCTTCCGGTACCACTCCTTCTACATCGCGGTTTGTCAGCATAGAACTGAGAACATGGAGGCCCTGGATATAGTGAGACTGGGGAGGCTAGGGTCCAACGTGAAGAAAACTGTTTTGTTATGCTCGGAGTGCGAGAGTGGCGAAATAACATACACATCTCTACAATGGACAGGGATGAACTGAACAAAATATGTTTAGCACATATATTTACTGTGATGTACAGGAAAAATAACAGTATCTTTGATGACTATTATAGCCATTTTGTATGACACTGCCTTAAAACGTGACAATGTCTTGCTGGTTTAGAAAAAGATGATCAAATTCCTGCTTGAGATTGTACTGCAGATGAAAAGACGATAAAAGACACTGCCTGTTTCCATTGATGTTCCTTAAAATAGGTTCACATCCTTTGAATATGTGTGGTGTTGTATATACACGATTTTCAAATGACTAACACTCCAGTTATGTTGGATTACAGTGTGGCCTCACCAATTTAATTTGTTGGTTCTCGGATTCGCCTCTTCATTTTCTGATTAGCAAAAAAAAAAAAAGATTCTGGTTCGGAAACAACTCAAAAATGCTTATATTTGGCATGCCCCCAATAGTTTAGGAAAGTCCGTTTCTTCCTATATAGTTGTTACAGTTTTTCCATCTATCAATGCAGTGGTTTGATTAAAAGTTCAAAATTCTTTGTTTAAATAATAACCAAGCCTTTTGTACGTTGATGAAGGTTAGACATCCAGGTAAACGATACTCGTAAGAAAATTCAAACTCTACTACTGGATCAGTTACGGATTTTTATTTCCGGACGTTTCGAGTGACATCCATCACTCTTCTTCAGCGTCACAAATGAACCTCTG